TTGGTTGGGGGCAGGGTCAGGACTTGAGACAGGCCCAGCCTACTGTATCCGTTCTTAGGGGAAATCTCATTAAAGCCACTCTTCCTCTTAACTACATCACCAGTGGGAAACAGATTTGGATATTGCATTCTGCCTCTTTTTTTAAAACACTCGGCCTGCGATATGTTAGGGGGAACAATGGAAGAGACTGATGAGGGAGGGGGAGCATGTATTGACATTTTCTCTCTCCTCTTTCATCTTAGTGCATCTCATTCCCCCACCCCCCCCACCCATCCTCCTTTGTTGAACACCTTTCCTTCCCCATTAACCTTCATCAATCTCTCCATCCTTGCTGGGTGAAAAATTGCACCCATTACCTTTGTCATGTGGCATACAGAAATAGCATTCTTTCCACTGACAAACATGAGGTAAAACAACTTGTGGTGACTCACAAGACTTGCAGGACAAAGGTGCCGCAGAATAAATCACTCACAAATATTGGACAACTTTCATACAGTAAACACAAGTAAAAAAAAAACAAATAATGCAGGCAATGTATTCTATATTCTTATCTTCTTAGTATTATTATATGATTACAAATATTATTAATATTATTATAATATACTGTTATTAACAATAACACTACCATCATGTCATCAGTACTATTACCACCATCTTGGCAAACTACAATCTTTGCAACCTATCTATCTATCTATCTAAATCTAGATCTATCTATCCCTATCCATTATCTATCTATCTATCTATCATACACTCATTCTAATCTATCTATCCTATCTATCTATCTATCTATCTATCTATCTATCTATCTACACATGGGTTAAGAATGTTATTTATTTTTTTACTTTATTTTATCCCACTAGCTGCAACTGGAGATACTGGAGTTAACTGGCCAAATACTAAAGTTACTACAGGGTCTTGTTGTATTTTTTTATTTCAGTTTGCAAATATTTGATCATAAAACAAAGTACTGGACAAATTAACTTAATAACATTGATAGATAAAAAATTAAGGGTTTAATGTTTAAAATGTCGGTTTTAAAATGTTGTATAATGCCACCAGTTAAGTTGAAGTCTTCCTAAGAATGTCCAGAAATAAATAATAGATTGGGTCAAGTGCCCAAACCAGCTCTGGCTTTAATGAGTCTGATAGAGGTAGGCACAAAGCTTGACAGTCTGCTTAGTCTTGAATGGAAGTGACCTGTATCTGCGGCCTGAAGGTAAGTGGCTGCATTGGTGTTGTAGTGTGTGTGGAGTCTGAGGCTATTTGTAGTCCTTTCATTGTAGCTTGTCTGCTGTAGATGCTGCTTATTAGCTCCAGGTCCAGACCAAAGATGTTTCTGCTCATTCTGATAAGTGTAACATTTGACCTGCTGGTTCTAGATGAAAAGTTGGGGAATCGCCAAAGGTTATTAGGATTTATCCTCTGGGCACCACAAATGTGTCTGTGCCAAATTCCATGGCAATATGTCCAATAGTTATCAAGACATTTAACTAAAAACAAAAAATGTCAACCTCATGGTGGGGCTAGAGGAAAATTCAGGAGATCACCAAAGTACGAGGGATTCATCCTCTGGAGACCTTAAACTTCCTTTCAATACGTCCAGTAGTTGTTGAGATATCTCAGTCCAAAGTAGTGGACAGATGGACTTACAGACATGTGACACTGCCATCCCTAGAGCCACAACACTAGTGTGGCTAAAAATGCAACCGCTTTGTCTCATTCACTTAAGCATGATAAATGATAGGAACACAATATCAACCTTAAGTAAGGAATAATAATGACCTGTGGATTTTGCACAGTGTAGCATTTTGGTGTTAATTAGATTAGGTTTCAAAGTTCTGTTCAGGAACCTGAAAGGTCTGCAGGCGCTGCATCACTCACTAATCAATTGCCATTATCATGCCTAGTACAAAGGTCTTGACCCGAGGGACATGTTGGACGCTGCTATTACTTTTCTCCTCTTTACACTGAACAAGACGCCCTGCAAAAGCAGCCTCGTTTAATGGCCGCTTGGGGGTGATTTTAAAGTTTTAGAGTGATGACTATCCATAAAAACAGTGGCTCGTCATTTTAAAAATGACAATATAACATTAAACTATCCAACACAATGGGTGCACTCTGGGTTTCAGGTCGAAAAATGAAGACATTATGGGAGCAGGCTGCACTACTGCTGCACTGTCATGAGGAAATTTTTGGAAAATGTCAGTGTGTATCTGTTGTGTCAGTGAGTTTCAGTACCTGCAGTTTTGTTGTTGTATAACAAAAAACACTTTAGGACACCGAGTACCAATGAGCCTCAGTGGAAACATACAGTGTCCTCAACAGACGTGATTATGGGGATTAGCGCTGTCTCACCCCCCTCCCTCCCTCTCCCTCACCCCTCTGACCCTCTCATTCATCCAATGGGAAGGGAGGGTAAGGGACAGAGTGGAGGGGAGAGATTGGCAACAGGTTTCACTGTACTGGCCAACATATTGTACTTCAGCTAACAAACAGCTCTTCCTATAAATCTGCAAAGAGGCGTTTATTCACATGGATACAATCGTCAGACTTTAGCTGTCAGGTTTTTACTTTTATATGATTTAGTTTTTATTTGCTTCTTCTGTTGGAAGAATAATAAAGATGATTAAGATCATGTTTCAACACGCGAAGAAACATCCAGGGGTAGGTTGCATTATATTCCTTTGTCTATTGAGCTGTGATTATTTCTAACATCAAGGTCTTTTGTCATATAGTAATGTATACACAAGGCCTAAAAACAGACTTTACGGTTCAATTGCTTTTTTTGTTTTTGAGTAGAGCTTTTCTGGGAAATTGGGAACAGATTTTTCAAATTCTATAGACCAGTTTTGAATTCACGGAATGCTGGGCATACAAAACATAAACTTATAATATGTCACCATGTGCTCTGGAAACTTTTAAACTATTTTCTGACATTTTATAGACAAAACGTATTCATATAACATCTTGGCCAGCAACATTAATTGAATTAAGACCTTGAGATGGAGCTGAATGCTCTAAAAGCTAGTAAGTGGAATTTTGTTACATATAACATTAAAACAATTATAATTACTGGTTTGATCATCTGAATCATTCAATGTGCTGTGACTGCACATAACTACTTTGTATCAATGTCAAGTTAATTTGTTTTATTACTATCATAATAAAATGAAGACAGAGAAGTAAAAGAAACACACAGAAGCTGTCTGTGTTTGTTTTTTTCTGTTGCCTCAGAGCTATGCTGAGGGTGACCCAAATTCGTGGATTGACAGGGCTGGCTTGGCAGTGCACCAGAAAAGTAATAAGGGCAGCAACAGTATCGAACCCCAGCGAGTATAAAACACTTCCTATATCGGTCAGGCTGAACGGTAAAAAGGTGAAACACTCACTTGTGTGACACAATATAAAGATATCAGCACCGGGGAGTGGACAGCTCTCTACCCACAGGCCTGTCTTCATTATTCGTTTGTGTGTGTGTGTGCGCGTGTGTGTGTGTGTGTGTCTGGGTGTGTGTGTGTGTGTGTGTGTGTGTGTGTGCGATCAAAGCTGACCTGCTTCCGTGTTTGTTTGTGTGTTTGTGTGGCTGTTTGTGTTTACTTCAGTGATCGAACTTGAGCGCCTGCAGTCAGCGTACAATGTGTGCAGTGTGCACTTGTGTGTGTTTGCATGTTCGTGTGTGTGTATGCAATGAAAACTTGATGAGTACTATGAACTTTTTCCATGGTTAACTTGGAGAAGTTCATAGTGAACGTATACTTGGAGAAGAATTCAGCAAAAATAAAACCCATGCTGGGTGTAAACATTGTACATTACATGACTGGTGCTGAAATACAGTAAACAGTCGGTTCATTGATCAGTTAAGACAACTGTTGAAAGGCAAAAGTTGAGGAGTACATATCTGCAAATCAATTAATAATTGAAGTCATTTATAAATAAAAAACACCAAACACTTTGAGTGGTTTGAGCATGTTAATTTTGGCATCTGAGAAACTGTAATTAATTTGTTACAATATGTAGACCAAACAATTATTTGATTAAGCAAAAAAAATAAA